TCGTTTGAGACATTGTGAGCTACAAGAAGTCAAAGTAAAAGTTGATGAAGATGAGCTGCTTTTTACATACTTTTAATATACACAATTATGTGTAAAATTATTTTATGAAAAAAGTATTAAAAGGAGTGATTACATAAAAAGTGAAAAGCAGCTTTCATACTGAATCAGACTGCTGCGGAAGTTATATTAATGAAAATTGTTAATTGTTTACAAGTCCCACGATTCGAATATACATATGTACATACATATAAACTCAATTGGAAATTTAATTGAAAAATTAAAAAAAATGTGTGCCAAGATTTGAACCTTAATATTGATAGGCTCTCACCTTTGGCTTCTCTTAAAGAGTTAATTTACCAAATATTCACATTTATTCACAGCAATCAGGCTCTCAATCTTTTTTCTTTTTTCTATCTAATGCAATTAGGTCTCTAGAAAACTTTTACACACCCTTCGCATCTGAACACAAGCAATGATGTAGATAGCTAACTATTTATGCCGTTGCACAATTAAGTGCACAAACAAACGATCTAACAAAAATTAAGTGATTTCTTTGAATTGCGGACAAAATTACGTCTAATTGTATTCGTTATTTCTGTTGCATTGGCATTTGCACACACATCCGCAATGTTGATTGCATTCGACTTGTAGCAAAGTATGTAAGCAATCGAGATTGCCCAGCCGATTGATTGGTCAAAAAAGTTGACTAAGCGACCAGCCGACAAGCTGACAAACTTGCAGGCCCGGCTTTATTTGATATTTATTGCTGGCAATTTTTATGGTCACTCTTTCTTTATTGCCTATGTAAATAGTAACTTGCAATGCAACTCACTAGCCTATATACATATATGTACATACATATGTAATAGGGCTGTGCGATTATTCGATTACTCGAGCAAGTTGGTTAATCAATTATTCGGTTAATCAATTACTCGAGTAATCAAGATTTTGATTCCTCAAAACGATGATTAATCGAGTTACTTGAAATATGATTACTCAAAAAAAATAATTTTGCTCGTTAACAGAGTTTGCTTTGGAAAATGCTTATTTTCTTTTTTACATTCTGTATATGAAAAAAATTGTTTGCTTTCATTTTTGAAAACAGAAACGTTGTTTTCAAAGTATCAAGGAACTTTAACTACTTTATACATATGTAAAGAGTTGAAATGTTGATTACTCATTTTACTCGAAATGTTGATTAATCATAAAGCAAATTACTCAAATATTTTTGTTTTTGGTTAATCAAAAATCTTGATTACTCGAGTAACGGAACTTTTGAGTAATCATAATTTCCAATTAATCGAATAATTGAGTTATTTATTTTATGATTAATTAAAATTTTGAGTAATCAATTAATCGCACAGCCCTAATATGTAATAATATAAGTATACTCGTATATTACATTACAGATAATAAAGTGCAGAAAAGCTATCTTCAGTAGCGTATATCTGCTGCTGTGTTTGTTGCACTGCTCCCTTTCGCAACACCCAAAAACGAAAACACATATTCAGTGTAATTAATTCAGCAGCTAAATAAAAAAAAGACTTTCAAAACAACTGAAATTACTGCTACGTGTACGAGCAACAGTTTGAATTTCTCAAGCTTCTTAATTCAATTTCATGCAGTTTCAATTTTAATTATTGATTATAAAAATTATTCCCATATTAAAATATTCCACGTTACAAAATACTCGTGCATATGTATGTAAGTACATAAATGCATACATATACACATATAAAAGGGTACATCACTGTCCATACAAAAATAAAAAATAGCACTGTTTTCCGCACGGAATTATAAATCTTTATTTTAAGACTTTCGCCAAAATATTTGGCAAGAATATTGAGAATTTCGTAAGCGGGACCGATTTGAAAATGCTACCAAAAGTATTATTATTTTAATGCCATTGAAAAAAATTTCAAAAATTTGTATGCCAACATTTTAAGCTTAAACTCAAACTCTTCTACCAAAAAAAAAAAATTGGAAATGGAAAAAAATTGTTATAAAAACGAATTTTATCTAAAAAAATCGATTTTTCGGAGCTTTTTCAAATCACTCCCGCTCACGTAATTCTTAATTATTTTCGGAAATTTTTTGCGGAAGTATTTTAATATAATAAATTTTTTAGTTCCGTTGAAAAAAATCGCAACATTTTTTTGGCGAGCCATCCTAATGTGTATACGTAATATGCATATTTACGTATATACATATGTATAAGCCGATTTGTGTCATCAACAAATTTCATGTTTGATGTGAGTTAATTAAAAATTCATTTTTATTAAAAAAAAAACTGTTTTTAGCACAACAATAAAAAAAATATAGCGTCAACGACTACAGCGTGTCTCATGTTAATTTCAAGCTCTAACAAAGTATATTTAAATATTAAAAAAATTAAAGGGAAAAAATTACATACAAACGCACCCATAACTTTTCCATTTACCGGCTCGCCAAGTAAATCTCGCACACCAAGAATCCGCTTGACGATAAAAGCGTATTCGTTATTCGTTTGCGCGAAGCGGATGTGTGCACGTTTTTTGTTTTTTATTTTTTATTTTTCTAATAAGATAAATAATAGAATATTGGAATTTAATAGACTACTAAGAGATGAGCGCTTTTTATTTTATAGCAAATCAGGTTATGCCAGCATTTATTTTGCTATACTCCATTAGTCTTCTTCTTATCTATTTATAAATGCAAATTTTGTTAAGCACAGATTTATGTAGTATGTATTAGCTTTTCATGAAAACAAGAGCGGAACTAAAAAATACATAGAAAATTGTTCTAAAGTCTGGCGAACAAATGAATTCTTATTGGGAAGTAAACAAGCCAAACCGGATGATTTACGATTCCGACTTTAGCGAGATGACATCTGATTCCAGGGTTTCCCGGGCCCATGGATAGAGTGAAATGGGAAGGAAACTTTATACACCACCAAAAGATCTGAAACATTGCTTGAAGTAGGTTCAAACTTGAGAAGAGCTTGGGAAAAGAGATAATTGGAATGATAGAGCAACACCGAGGAAGCACCGCAGGAACTCGTCAAGCAAAAGGCTTATTAGCGGTGTACAACCTGAAGGGATGCAAAATTTTCTAATGAGCTTCCCTGAAGAGAAACTAAAGTTTGTCGCAGGTAGCCATACAGGACATTGCAGACTTTGAGCGGGATGTACGAGTAGTCGAAGTGTTGTGAAGAATAGAGATTATAATAAATTTCAACAAAAGGTGACCAGCAAGGCTTATTTCTTATTTTTTGCATTTTTCCTTTCTTTTTTTTTGTATTTTATTTTATCTTACTTTATTTAATTTATTTTATAGTATTATTATTTATTATATTTTAGTTTATTTTATTTTATCATTTTACCTTTTTATTTTAGTTTGTTTTATTTTATTTTATTTTATTTTATTTTATTTTATTTTATTTTATTTTATTTTATTTTATTTTATTTTATTTTATTTTATTTTATTTTATTTTATTTAATTTTTTTTTATTTTTTATTTTTTTTTATGTTTTTTTATTTTGTTGCATTTTATTTTATTTTTTATCATTTTATTTTATTTTATTACCATCCTTTTATTCGCATTTTCACCAAAGGCCAACAACCGACCTCATTTTCTACTTCTTTTTGCCGCTCTATTCATTCTCTCCTACACACTTTCCAATGCAAGTTTGCATGCAACGACCTTCAATGGTAAAATTTTAACAATACATTCGTGGTTTTCATGTTCAAGTGCCCGCAGCAATTGAAAATAATTATCAGTCAAGAAAATGTGTAAAAATGTGGAATATGTCTTCATAAATGTACAACAATGTCGATGTAACCAAATGTGGGTTTTCGATTAAAATCTATTACTGTACTGCACGTACGAAAAATATATATATAAACATACGAATACTTATGTATGTATGTATAGGCATTCGATTGAAAAAGGAGAGACGTGAAGAAAAATTGTGTAAATGTTGCCAAAAGCCAAATCAAATACAATTTTCCACTTATTAAAAATGCAAAACTCGTGTTTGACCGCCGCTGCATGCGGACTGGTGGCTCGGTGGCCAAAAAGTGTTGGCACGTACATACATACATATATAGTTTATTTACTTATGAATGTATGTGCACGTTATGCACGTATGATTGTATGCACATCCGTATGCATGCACATACATAAGTAGTATACAAAATAGTTACACGTTTCAACACAGTTTTAGGCGTTGTTGTGATTGTTGCTGGTAAGCCAAAAGCGAACTACCAACAGCCGGTATTAAATGGGCAATGAGTAAACAGTAGCCAGGTAGTTAATCAGCTAAAATTCATAAATATTTGGTTATTGCACTAACTACGATAGCAACAAAATTTTAGTTAAAAAAAAAAAACCTAAAATGCAATTGCATCAAATTTAACACATTTTCTGGGCTGTGTAGCTTGTAAACGAGAGTACATAGCCCGTTTAATTTTTCACGATTTTTTTCAAATTTTCCTTGTTTTAATAGCTTTTTATTTTCATTTTTTACTATTTCCCCCTCATCGAAATCAATTGGCTTCGCCTTAAAAAACGCACTCACGCACGTTTCCACTCTTAATATGCAATTTTTTTTTATGGACATCAGTCACAAGTGTCACGTCTGTCTCGCCTGACTAAATGCGAGGAAGCGAATTGTTATGACCCATTTTGCCTGCTTTGACTTTATGTAAGCTTCGCAGCCATTACACACATTTGTCGCTTGACGTTCACTGCATAAATATGAAATTTTTATTTAACTACACACTAACCAATTGGTGACTACACAAATGGCACGATTAGGTTGGTAGGTGGGTAGGCGCATGCGTGCGGCAAGTTGCGCAGTTGTGCTCCTTTTGTTGTTTATTTTAATAGATTTTTTTTTTGCTTTTCAGCAATATTTTTCAATTTGTAATTGTATTTTTATTAATTTTTATTTTTTTAATTTTTAGTATCATTTTTTATTAATTAAAACAAGCATTAAATTTTTATGGATCTCTACTTACGTCTGGCACATTTCGCTGGCACAGGCAGTGATAAGAATCTACCAGGCTTTGTTGATGTTGTTGTCGTTGTTCTGGCCTGTGAGATGGCAGGTTCAGCGCACGCCACTACTATGCAGACAGCAGCTATCACAAGTGTGATCTTCATCTGTAAATACAAAAAAAAAAAAACACAAGTAATTAATTATTTGCTAAGACTTGAGTTTATTTTCATTCCAAAACATCTATATGTAAACTGTGATTTGAGGAGATCGCATTTTATGGATTACATTCTCAAAACAACAAAAAACCCCAGAAACAATATGTACAAAACTAAAGAAAAATAACAAATTAAATGAAATGGAAAATTGGAAAAAAATGTTTAACCTTGAAGAAAATTTAAAATAAGCTAATAGTAAAAAAAAAAAACATTTTTTCAATTATATCGGCACTCGCGCCATATATCGGCTTAATTTTTTGTGGAGTTATTTCCTTTCATTTGGGTAATATACATTTCATTTCACATATAAACCAAATCTGACTAAAAATACGGGATTTTCACCACCTAGCGGATTAATTCATCTAATTTCAAGTGTGTAGCTCATCAGGAAGTTGGCTGAAAATTGATTATAAGATTTGATCCGAACAAACATATATACATACATACGTACAAAGCAAGTTAAATAAAAGCTTGTAAAAAATCGAATTATGGGAATAAAAACGAAATATAAAACTGAAGATAAATAATAAAAAAATTATACCAACAAAATTTAAAAAAAAAAATAATAAATAAAAGAAACTCAAAAAAATATAAATAAAATATATAAAAAATCTAATGGAAAACAAAACAAAAAAATTAAAAATTCATAAAAAAAAATAAAATGGCTAACAGTCAGAAATACAAAAAAAAAAAATACAAAATTTGGAAAAAAATAAAAAGAACGAAATTTCAAAAAATAATAAATTGTAAAAAAAGAGTGATTAAATTATGGCAACGTAATTAAAAACTGTAAAAGTTATAAAAACTCGAAAAAGCTGGAATGGATAACAGTCAAACTTATCAAAGAATTCAAAAAGTTACAAAAAAATAAAAAAAAAAATTAAAAAGAAGAAAAGTACAAAAAACCGGAAATTAAAATGAAATAGTTGGAAGTAAACAGTCATAGATCAAAAAGAAGAAAATTAAAAAAAAATAAACCAAAACGGAAAAAATTAATAAACAATTTAAACTGGATGTCAGTCGTAAAACCAGGTAGAAATAAACAATTGATAAAAAATCCTAAAATTAAAAATTTTATAAAACTATGTATAAACCAGCTTATGTAATCCAAAAAATATGTAGATTTACTTCGCGCGTTTCACAATCAAAAATTCGAAAAATATAATAACTGATACAGAAATTTAAAAACCATGAAAAATAAAGAAAGTTAAAAAAAATAAAAATTAATATAAAATAAAAAAACAACAAAATAGAGATCGAAATTCCAAATTACCCAACTTATGTAATCTAAAAAAAAATATGTAGATTTTCTTCAGGCGTTTCACAATACCTTGCCTTACAAGTAATTCTAATATTTTAAAGTCTATATTTAATTGTTTGGTGTATTGAATCCTCCTCCGCCTTCAAAGCTACTGATAATAAATTATATTTACGGGCTTTATAAATACAAATTTATTGAATTAATTTAATTTTTAGAAACTCATTTTGTTTTTTTTTATTAGTTAGTTTTTTAATTTAGTTTTAGTTTAATTTTTAGATTTCATTGTTTTGAAAAGAAAAAATATTTTTTTTTATTTAATTTAATTTTTATAATAACTATGTGTTTCTTTCTCTCTTTTACTTAAATTTTTCTTTTTTTTTATTTAATTTTCTTTTAAATTCTAGATTATATTGTTTTGAATAGAAATTTTATTTTAAATTTCATCTAATTTTAGAAACCTACTTTATGTAATTTTTCTTTTTTTATTTAATTTCTCTTTTTTAATTAAATTTTCTTTGGTTTTCAGTTTTCATTGCTTTAAAAAGAAAAATATTTTTTTAACTTTTTCTTCTTCCCTTTTTTAATTTAATTTGTTTTCTTTTTCATTTAAATTTTCTTTCAGTATTTAGACTTTATTGCTTTAAAAATAAAAATCTTTTTTTTTAATCTAATTTTATTTTTAGATACTTATTTTATGTACTTTTTAAATTTAATTTTCTTTTGGTTCTTAGATTTTACTGTTTTAAAAAGACAACTATTTTTTATATTTAAATTGAATTTATAGGTTTTTTTTTAATATCAATTAATTTTTGGAAACTGATTTAATGTTTTTTTAATTAATTTTTCTTTTTTCATTTAATTGTTTTTAATTTTTAGATTTTATTGTTTTAAATACAAGTATATATTTTTAATTTTTATAAACTTATGTTAAGTACATTTTTTTCTTATTTAATATAGTTTTTCTTTTTATTTTAATTTTCTTTTAGATTTCATATATACTGTTAAGAAAAATATTCGCTTTTATTTAATTTAATTTGTAGGGTCTATTCTGCTTCTTTTTTTAATGAAATTAAATTTTTGTTTTAATTTTTAGATTTTAATTTAATTTTCAGAGAACGTATTGCTAAAGGGCAGACAGAATAACGTTAAGGCCTCCTACTTTGCTTGTCTTTCAATGAGTCTTTCGAAACACAGAAAAGAGCTTTCAAGATAATCGTTAGAATAGACAATTTTCAAGGTGAATTTAGTTAAACTTCTCAATTTGTGAGAACTTATAAATTGACTTTATGTCGGGTAAACTCAGTTAAACGAATACCTAAATTGTGTGACAACATCAAGGTCTACACAGAAAATCGTAGTAGCAGCTCGGCCAAGCGCTTAGCAAAATATGAAGCACCAAATGTTTGCTTTTTTTTTAATTTAGAAATACTTCTTAATTATTCAATTTAGCTGTATATATAAACAAATCTTAAACTTTATTTTTCATGATTTCAGTTTAAGGCATTGCCAAGAAGATTCAGTTAAATATTTCATAAATCTAATGACTTGGCAGCATTCTTGTATTAATTCTTAACTAATTTTCGATTACCTTATTTAGCTATTCTACGGCGCGTGGCATTGATAGCTAGCTACCTATGTAAAAACAAGTTGCCATTTACGGCTGGTTGAAGATGTTGAACTTGCGGGTCATTAGTGCCAAAATGATTGCCTTAAAAACTTGGCTTTGTATATTTGATTTATTTAAATTTTATTTTGTTTAAAAAATAAACGAAGAAAACTGCTTTTGCGCATAAAATTTGCATAAAACTAATGCAGATGAACTTTAATCATTTAATTTGCAATTTTTTGCAATAAAATTTTCAACAAATAAATGAAAGCCATCAACAGCAGCTGTAAGTAAATAAATCAACGAAGTTTGAGTGGCTGGCATGGGTAGAGCGCGGGGAAAGAGTAGATATCAAATTCCAAATACACACGCACCCTCTCAATATGCCGTTGTTTCAAATGACAATGACCACCACAAAATGTTTGCGTGTATGGGTGTAGCAATGTAGCTGAACTTTGCTGTTGCAGCTGCCATAATCAAGTGACAATCAATTCACCACAAAGGCACACACACACACACACATTACACATGCAGATATTTTGGTGTACCGCATATGTAAGTTCGTTCATTGTTGTTGCTGTTGCTAACTACTTACACACTTATGTACAGCGAAATAATAGATCTTAATAATCACTGATCATTAGTGTTTGACATTAATTTTTTGGCTTAGAGTTGACGCCACCAACTACAGCCATAGGGGCAAGCGATCGACGACCACCAAGTAATAACCAATAAAACTAACAAACAAATTCACAATAGCAGCGACAGCAACAACAACAACAATAACGGCAAAAATTGATTATTACGCTATTATAGCAAGTGTGCAACAATGATTATCACTTTTTGTTTTTTTTTTTTTGATATGCTGTTGCTAATGTTGATGCTGGTGTGCGTGCGTGCATGTAATGCGCATCCCGCTGACAGCGGCTACGCATGCGCAAGTGTCTGCCACTGCCACTATGTGTACTTACTGGTGCTGCTGCGCGGCTCATACAATATGTGTGTGTGCACATGACTCGTTTGATTTGTTTTTATGTCAAGGATGTTCATATAACCGGTTGAGCATCGCGAGACTTGCATATAAAAAAAAAATCACCTCACCAATAAATAATAAGTCAAGAAGCAGCAAAAAAAGAGCCAAAGCTGCTCACCAACCAATCTATGTACATATATACATACGCTTTATACAAAAGCACCGACATGGGTACATTAGGGTGCATCACTCGCAATAAAAAAAAATAAAAAAACAATTTTATATCATAAACTTTATTATATTTTAAAACTTGCGCCAAAATATTTCGGAAATATATTACGATTAACGTTAGCTTGATGCAGTTGAAAAAACCTTAAAAATCGAGTTTTTTATAAACAAAATTAATTTAAAGAAACAGTTTTCTTAAAATTACCTCAAAGGGTTCAAGCCTAAAAGGTCTGCATAAAAATGTTGGAAAAGTAACAGCGGAATTGAAATATCAAGCCCCAACCGCCAAAATAACGTAAGCGACATTTTTTTTCAAAATTTTCGTTTTGATGCAGAAATGCATCTAGATGCTCTAGGAATATTTCTACATCAAAAAAAAATTTTGAAAAAAATGTTGCTTACGTTATTTTGGCAGTTAGGGATCGATATGTAATGCCATTTTGGATATATTTTAAAATCGTTCCAGCTCACGTAAATCTTAATAAGTTTCCTAAATATTTTGCCGGAAGACTTAAAACATAGTAGGTTTTATAATTTCGTTAAAAAAACGCAATTTTTTTTTTTTTTGGTGAGGCACCCTTATATACATACATATGTATATAAGCAACAATGTAGTAATTCGTTAATTTTTAATTTGATTGCTATTGATTCATCGGCGATGTGTTGTGCAAAAGATGCGTGTGTAATTTTAATCTTTTTCTGATTTTGTTATTGTATAGCTTTAGGCTTTCATTTGCACAATAATGTCTAATAATGTGACAATAAATAATTCAGTGCACGCTCAAAGCTCATTTATGTGCTTTTTTTTTGAGTTCGTTTGTTTGCTTTGACTTTGAATTAGAGTTGATGTAATGCGATTTTGGAATGTTTGCTGCGTGAAT